AAGAGTGGGATGCTACAGAGCACAAAATTTTGGGAAAATTCGGGACTGGGAGTGTGCTGGGGATTACTTGGCTAGTAGTTATCATGGATGGTGTATAACAGAGCATGACTGGAGAGTAAAAAGCAGGCTGCTGAAATCAAATTGATGAATAAGAGCTACCTTACCAAAGAGAAACAAGGTGCATGGCTGTCTGCTGGTGTTCAGGCTGGGAGCCATAGCAGCACAGCAATTAAGGCCCCTGGTTTAGAAGGCAGAGGGTGCCATAACTCCTGATTGGTCTGGATTATATCCCAGAATGTAACCAGCACCTTCACTACTCCATTTCCTAGGCTCCTCCAAGCCCAAATTCCACTTCCCATCCGTACCCATTACATGCAACCCAGGTTCCTCTGTGTCCTCAAGTCTTGCTGACATACCATGACTCCTTACAGTGCCATTATCCCACAGATTTTCTCCATGCACCCACCCCCAAATTCTAATCCAGATCCTCCTCCCCCCCCCCACGCTCCCATCAAAGGACCCAGGGCTCCCAACATGTCAATTATCAGAGCTCTGGAATGGAGAGGGCGGTGTCCCAGGCCCTGCACCTCTCTAGGGACAGTGCTGAAGATGACAGTTGAGATATGTGGGCTGTGAGTGGCAGAAGGGAAGTAACTATGATTGGGAAAGTATGAGTGGAACATAAATGGGATGTTGAATGATTTCGCTACTTATTTCCTTGCTTTTTAGAATTTACATTGCTAAGCCATATAGTCTGCATAATTAACACAAAGTTGAAGCTTCTCCTGTGTATTCTGTATATATACACATATATACCCTTGGAAGGATTAGATTTCAAATAGGAAAATGTTGATTTTAGCATACACACACAAACCAACATTTTCTTCTTTTATAACAATCAAAATGTACACATACGCAAAATAAGAGTTCCTGGATCAAATACAATTATTTAGATTTTTGAATTGTTACAAATGGACTAACAAACAACAATAAGAGTGGGTATTCATTCATTTAAGTATCAGAGGGGTAGCTGTGTTAGTCTGAATCTGCAAAAGCGACGAGGAGTCCTGTGGCACCTTATAGACTAACTGAAGTGTAGGATCATAAGCTTTTGTGGGCAAAGACCCACTTCGTCAGATGAATGACATGACATGCATCTGATGAAGTGGGTCTGCACTTCATTCATTTAAGGATATTTTATTCTATTCTGAGGTGTGATGTGGATCATTTCAGTTTTTACAGTTTATAAAGCTTTAGCCTTTTCAAACTCAATGTCTACTGTCATTAAAGAATTTCCTGACTGCCTCCCCATAAATTCCCTCAACTGTGAACACTTAAATCAAGTTGCAGTGGGTGGAGAAGGTCTAGGTTGGATATTAGGAAAAACTATTTCCCTAGAAGGGTGGTGAAGCACTGGAATGGGTTACCTAGGGAGGTTGCGGAATTGCCATCCCTAGAGGTTTTTATGTCCTGACTTGACAAAGCCCTGGCTGGGATAAGTTAGTTGGGGTTGATTCTGCTTTGGCAAGGGGACTAGACTTGATGACCTCCTGAGGTCTCTTCCAACTCTATGAGTCTATAATTCTATGATTCTACTAAATCAATACAAATCTAAAACCAAGTATGTACAGACATCAATATCTGCTGAACTCATACAAAGAAATAATTGAATTCCTCCTAGAATGTGATAGATGAGTTGGCATCAGTGTCCTAGGACAAATTTTCTAAGGTTAGTCCCTCTGTGCCAGGGTGGGAATATGTAGGCAGCATACTTTGCATAGATGCTATCTGCACAGTGGATCAGATTGTCTACAACTGTGTCACTGTGGAACATTTAAATCAGCACTACGTGCAAATGAAAAAAAAATTGGATTTCCATACTTACTGCAGCCTCATCATAAGATTAAGTAAAAATACAGCTTTATAAATGAACATAATGAATAAATATATTTAGAAAACTTACTCGAGCAGCAGAAGCAAAAGAATCAGGTCCATGAGCTGCATTTCTTATGCCGTCTGTTCCAAACATTGCTCTAATGCTGCCCGGAGCCTCAGAACGAGCCACACCAGAGTTCGCAGGTCCCAGTAACTTTTGCCACTCCGACACAGCATCATCTCCTAAAATCTCCATGACAACAGTGGGGCCACTTGTAATAAACTGGAGCAGCTCACTGCAAAAGAGACATAGCAGGCACAGAATTCACTGTACAGAAAACAAAATCTATGCACTGGTTCTCAACTCTCACTAGTATTACAGGAAAGGATAACAGTCCATGCATGGCACAAGTAATCACACAGTGGTATGTAGCACAAGGCTCTGGAGCAGCGGTTCTCAAACATTTTGCCCCATGGCCAACATGGCTCAATGCAAACTTTTTATAGACCAGTCGCTAATGGAAACTCACCATTAATTACATAACTGCACCCAAGCCATTTTGCTAGCGCTATCGTTAGGGAGAGCAGTTTAATTTAACCAATGAGAAAGGAAATATTAATTGAAATATTAATTTAAATTATTAAACAGACTACGTACTTTAACTTTCTCATGTTTATTTAAAATGAATTTTGATTAAGTAAAATATTAATTTATGTACAACACAAAAGGTTCCCATGTTTTCTTTATTTGTGGCGGGGTGGGGAACCTTTTTTGGGTCCAGAGACACTGACCCACAGAAAAATAAGTTGAAGACCACACAAGTGAGAAGCAAAAAAACCCACCAAAAAATAATATACTAGGCTCTGGGGTTGGGACAAAAATGGAGGGATTTAGTGTGTGGGACAGGGCTGCCAGCAAGAGGAACAGGGGTGCAGGAACTGGGCAAGAGGTGGAATGCAGGAGGGGGTGAAGGTGCAAGGTCTGGGCGGGAGGAAAGGCACAAGCGGGGGTGAGGGAGGGCAAGACTGGAGTGCCAGCGTGGGCTCCCTGCTGCAAGGGAAAGGAAGGGAACTGAACTCAAGCCACAGATCAACCACCCAAAAGGCAGCTGTGGATCTCGGACTGCAGTTTGAGAACCACTGCAAGGAATGGAGGAATACTGGATGGGATAAGGCAAGGACAGTGGAGACAAAAGACCACTGGTGAGCCATTCTTTCCTTCTAGTAGTGCTCCTTCCACCTTGTAGACTCGTGGTGTCCATCTAGAAAGACTATTCAGCCTGTACATTTTTTCTCATTGTGGTAACAAGCATGCTCTCACAACTAGGGAGGCCCTGCACTAAAAATGTTTTACTTCAATTACCCACTCCACCATGTGCTTCTCCCCCTATGAGATATGGAGTAGATTGTAATCTCTGCATCACACTAACATGGAAAACTGAATTCTAGTGAAAATGGTCCCTATTAGCCTTCCTCTGATTTGAACATAATAATCTAAAATAAAGTTTGATTAAGGGAAAAAGTAAGGTTAGAAAATTACAGCATATTTTTATAATTTTTATTTCTAATTTGCTTAGCACAGGCAATGTGCTCAGTGCTGTACAAGCCACAGAGATACAGATAAATTTTTCCTTGAAGTTTCTCTGCACTGAATCAGACTGAGAAATCAACATACGGAGGAAAATGAAAGTTGTTGCTTTTTGTGTTACAAACTCATAATTTCTTGGAATCGTGGAAATCATAAGATATTGAGGGGAAGATATGACTAAAGAGGTGGCGAGGTAAGGAAAACAAACAATACATGGGTAAAGACTCAAAAACCCAAAAATCCAAAAGTTAAGTTTGAATATATGTAACCTTAATTCTGCTCCCTTGAGCATACGCATCATTAGATAACTGTCAGTTACACAGTCACATACTACCATCTCTGCAGCAATCCATCTCATTCAGTTTGAAAGCTGGACATTGCACAATGAATGAAAAAGTTACATGAAGGTTTTTTATTCAATTATTCTTAAAGTTACATTTTATGGCTTATCGACACAGATGCACAAGAGAAAATTTCTGAACAGCTCATTATTTCTTTTAAAAAAACAAATCTTGTTCACTTATTTATGTTAATGCATGTTGTAAAACACAATTTAACATTAACATTTAATCACCAAGAAGTTAATTGCTATTTTTCCCCCACTATTCAGCAAACTTTCATTAGCTACCAATTTTGCTAATTAAATTAGGAAGTCCTGTTTATGAAATACTAATAAATCTCTAATAAAATGCTCTATGTAAATGGATGTGAGAATTTAAATTTTGTAAGTGTGAGGACACTTCTTCAGTTCCCCAACTGTAGCAAAATCTCATAGAACAGATATCAAGTATTGCTGGATGGCCGACAGAGTACATTATAGTGAATTGAGGGTTTACAGTTTCTCAGCTTGCAGTTAGTTTAGAAATCCATGAAACAACACTACAGACATTCTCATTCATTTACAAACTTATTCAAGCAGACATACTCAGCAAAGTAAAAATGATAGCTCTGTTTTCCTAAGAGCTTTATTATAGTCTGGCATTTCCTAGGGCCATTTCTCTACAATGCACAGAAATAAATCTGCTCCTACGCAAACCAAATGCTGCTTCTGGAATTAGGTGGCAATTATGATATTCCCACTGCTCAGGAAAATCTTGACAGTGCTGCACTTGGTTATCTGTCAGTTGCAATTTTTTGTTCTGCATGACCAGAAATATAAGTTTCCCAAACAGGGCTGACCTTGACCAACTACACTGTGAGGGTATGTCTACACTACAGCGTTATTTCGAAATAACGCATCAACACACAAAATGCATTTCGAAATAGCTTTTTGCTATTTTGAAATAGTGCGTTCACACTGAGAGGATGCTGAATCGCATTTAAGGCCAGCCGGAACCAGGTCCAGCAGGGCATCAGGTCAGGAGTTACTTTGTGTGGCTGCTGCCTGAGGCTGAGGCCTGTGCTTAAAGAGACCTCCCCTAGACGGAAAGTTCTCAGGTTTCCCTGCTTGCTCACCTATGAATAGAAATGAATAGAAATATTTAAGAAACTCCATGAGGGACAGCAAAGCATTTTGTCTCTGCGTGTTCTGGTTGCCCTCACTCGGGACATCACAGCACTCTGCAACATGGAGCCAGAGCTGCCCCTGAGCACTCTGGTGCTTCTCATGGACGCATTGCTGTGAGCCTGGCTGCACTTTCTGCAGGCTGCCATCTGGGAGGTTCATTGGGGGGCTGTCAGTATCCAGGAGGTCCTGTGGGAGAGCTTCGACCTTGAGGAGCATTAAGAGACTCCCTGGTCTGCCCCACTGGGGGCTTGTGCCTCATTCCTCCCTCACATCCTTCCACTTACCCCTCTCTAACCCACCTTCCTGATGCAAAATAAAATACATGTATTTTCATGAATACAAACTCTCTTCATTTAACAAAACTGGGGTGAGGGAATGAAACTCTGGTGAGACTGGGGAAAGGAGGTGGGAGAGGGGAGGAGGAAACCTGAGAGGAGGGAGCTGGAAGGAGGAAGCAAGGGGAAGAAGGGGGAAGGGAAGTTCAGGGCTCAGGGTTGGGGGTCTCGCCAGACCAACTTGATTGTCATGCAAACCTGCTCCTGGGTTCTCATGTGGCCTTTGGTGGCCAGGTTGGCAGCTCTCCTGCCATAGACGGCTGCGTTTCTCTGTCAAGTGCGGAGATCATGGACGTTGGGGGGCATCCCCCCCAAACCTGAGTAAGGTCCACCATCTCCACTCTGGACCAGGAAGGCGCCCGCCTTCTCCGGGCCCTGTCAGGCTCGAGGGCTGGCTGCCAGTGGCTTGCTGGCTCATGTTTTGGGGCCACTGGGTCAGAGGCAATGACTGCTGGCTCTGGGCTGGCAGATTTGGAGCTGGCACAGGCACTGTAGCCAGAGTCTACCCCTTTAAGGGCTCCAGGGAGCGGGAGAGGAGTGTTCTTGGTTGAGGCCAGAGTGGCCACCAGGGCACCCTGGGAAGGGCTGGAGGACCCCTATGTCGAAATAAGTGTCTACAAAGCCCTTATTTCGAAATAGCAATTTAGAAATTGGTGTTATTCCTCATGGAATGAGGTTTACCAATTTTGAAATAAGCCCTCTGCTATTTCAATTTAATTTTGAAATAGCAGTTTGGCTATGTAGACACTAGTAAAGTTATTTCAAAATAACTTTGCTGTGTAGACATACCCGAGTGGTTAACCTGGGCCCAGACTCAGGAATACATTAGCTACCCATGCCTTCTTTGCTAATCAGATAAAGCCCAGGTGTAAATAACAAATAGCATTTATTCATTATGCACTCTAATTAAACTTGATAGAATATCACAAAACTGAAAATATTTTAGAAAGCTACATGCGCACAAATATATAAATATTTTTATCCCATGTTTGTGGAGAGATTAAATATTTCATAGTTACATGTAATGTGAAACAGCAAGAGCCACACAGAGTATTTTGTTCAGGACCATATAGATGCCACATTTTGAGATACTTGTGCTTTTGCATATTTGCTGGCTGAAGAGTATCAGGTACCCTGGATGTACTCTGCAATTTTCACTGATTGCAAGTCATATTCTATAACTGTAAATTTCCCTTTTCCCATTTCTTTTTTCACGAGGGTCATTTCACTTCTCAAAGGGTGGATGCATTCATTGGCACTTGATGTGACATGGGATTGTGGAACTAGGTCCATCTTAGGAGGCTGGAAGGGATTCACACAAAGTTTTACCTACGGGCCCTTGTAACTTGAGCACAGTTTTGATTTTGCCAGATTCTTTTAGTATTACAAGCACATGAAATGAAAGTTCTCTTGGTCAATCTTTTCCTGTACAGTAAATGAATAATACCTCCAAAGTATGCACTTACTTGTAAAAAGGCCTTGATTGATGATCTACATAGAGATCCATTGCTTCTTTCCTAGAAAAGATGTAAAAAAGAAAACAAACCCCGCATGAACCATTAATGAACAATTATCCATTAACATGCCTGTAACGTGGGAAGTCTCTTCCCGATACCAGATAGTTTGTGGGTGGCCTATGCTGTAAATCATGAGGGTTAATATACCTCATATGTTTTTATCATAACAAGTGTAACTCTTTATATTCCTTTTACACAGAAAAACTGATAATCCTCTGCATCCTCCTTTGGATTCTACTCAGCTCTTGGCTTATATGGTATCTTGTAGAATTTAGTTCCACAGATAAATTACATGTTGTATAAGAGTACTTCCTTTAACTAGTTCTAAGTGCATTGCTTTTCAAACTCACAAACCTTTCCTATATTTTTGTGTTATGACTAAGAGCAAATGGGAGCACTATAGACACCTTCCATGTACCATTTGCTATTTCACAGTTTTCATATTCATCCTCAGATTGAACAAGCCTGTCAAATCAATGAAGCCACATTTTTTAATTGCAGAGCAGCAGCTCATCTGCTTTGCTGTAATTGGTTTACTTGCCTAAACTATATTTTTGTTTGTCCTGGGATGCCAGACAATAGGATTTTTCACAGCCTGGTTTCTACCTAAGGTTTGCAGATTTTCCAAGGCACAAAAATATCATAGTGTTCTGTAGATTTCAGGAAGAGGGTTGTCATCTGTTTCGCTTTTTTGTTTTAAATCAGAGAAAGTGTTTTCCCCCCCAGTACTTCACCACTTTTGGAAACACATTTCAGCCTTGTGCTTTCCTGTAGGTACATGCCAATTGCCACACATTGCTTCCACACCACTGGCCTGAGGTGCTGTAATACAATTATTTCCAACACTGTCATGCAATTGAACCAGTTTACTAAGATCTCAGTTAAATCAACTAGTGATTTTCTCATCACACCTTAACCTGTGGTTATCAACCTCTTTTCCTCACTACTTTAGGGCTTTAGTCCATAGCAGTTCCATGTGTGTAACTCCTGTTGGCTCCACTGGGATATCTGCAAGTGGAGTGCCTAGAGAATTCATGCAGGGTCTCTAAGTTCAGTTTGGACACTGGGTGGCTTCTCAGCTCCAATTCAAAAGTGTATTCTCTAACACGGGGGAGATGGGGAGATGTGGCCTTTGACTTGCCTGAATCCAACCCCCAAGGCTCAGGGTGCCCTCCAGCATTGGGGAGACTGTGCTGGTACTCCAATCTCTCTGCTGCCCCCAGGGTCTGGAGTGCACAAATCTACTAGGCTGGGCCCCCCAAGCTTTGGTGTGCAAAGGGAATATGGGGAATTTCTTTCTCCTTCTCAAATGGGGGTCACAGTGAAATTTTTTCCGCTTCTCACTTGTGTGTGGCTCCCGACTGATTTTTCTGTGGGTCAGTGGCCCCTCACCCCAAAAAGGTTCCTCACCCCGGCTCTATCTCACAACGGATCTTTGTTTGCTCCGAATTCTGGAGAGCACCAATGCTATGAAAGCACTCCCCAAACTTTTGTGGGTTAGCCTACAGCCTTACTCCTGTAAACATCCACACACACACTCGCCCTGGAGTCAGGGTGACCCACGGAGAGGAGTTAAGGCAGGGCTTGCAGTTGATGGTGGGCCATGGGCCAAGACTGAGGCCAGGAGCAGAGCTGGGCTGTGAAAGGGGCCAGCAGCTGGACCGGCAGCTCTGTTCCCGGCCTCATCCCCAGCCTGAGAACAAAGCCGTAGCCAGCAGCTGAAGCGGAGGGCTGTGGGGCCAGACACAGAGCTGTGCCAATGCTGGGAATGGAGACACGGTTGAGGGTGGTACCGGAGCAGAGCTGGGGGCACAGCAGGATGCGGGAGGTGCTCTCTCCCTGAGTCCTCCCCCTGTGGGGCAAAGCCCAGGCCCCGGCCCCACCACATCCTTTTAGACATTTGTCCACACCCTCTAGGAGAATGCAACCCACAGTCTGGGGACATGGTGAAATCCAAATTCTTTTAGGAATTAGAGTTAGCTGAAGACAGGCAATGGCAAAGCAACAGTGCTCAGACCACAGGGTAAGTCAGGAGCTCATGAGGAGTGGGAGACAGGAGTCTAAAGTACCATTAGAGGGAATTTGTATACTTTCCTATTAACTTCCCATCTTAGAAAGTTATTTTTGGTTACAAGTACAGTTCTGTGAAACTTTTGGTCTCTGATTCCACTCATTGCTCAGAACTGGACGCAGTCATCAGCACAATTTTTAAAAGGCAGATTCCAAGCATGCCAAAATGCATAGTATGGTCATATCTATAAAATAACTTGGCCATGTTCACTCAGTCTTCAGTCCATCAGTGTATCAACTAACTTCTATGAAGACAAGGAAGGAATAATGAGAAATGTGAGTGTGAAGAAATCTAGTAAAAGTCACTGGGACCAATTCTGAAGTCCTTACTCCAAGTGGGTGAATAACTTCTAATGAATAATTTAGCTAAAGAATTTGATTTGCTATGCTTCATAGAACATGATCTTCTCAAATTTATTCATTACTCAAATTCCAGATCTGTAGTTTATAAATCACTGCAAGTACCTGACATTCAAAATTTGAGGCATTTTATTGGATATGTCTCTCAGTATGTTTCTTGTTTATTTATTGGAGGTGTAATGCTTTTAGAAGGAAGTTTCTCATTATGCCAAATCAAAAACTATTTTCTACAAATATTCTAAATATTTTCCTAAAATTCACTATTTTGGCAATAATTACTACCAGTAAGCTAATTCACTAGAATTTTCATGGAAAGTATATAGAAAGTTGGCATTAATCCAATCTAAGCTAAATCATATAAAAATTTGAACAAGTATCTGTGGATTTTTTTCAAAGCATTTGCTCAGCTCTATTGCTTATTCAAACAAAAAACAAAACCCTCCTGTGGCATTAAATTCCAAACCAAAGCTGCTAGCTGTATCATTATTTCCCATTCTCTCTCAGCAGATCCCCACTTGTAGAGCATAGAAAGCTGAATTCATTTTGGACAGTGAGCAGATGAGAGAAGTGATTAGCTGAAGAGAACGGAGAACTGACCTATCAAAACAGGCATTTGCCCTTCCTTTCATATCTAAGCCATGAGTTTTACAAAAGGTGTCAATCAAGATAATGGGGGTCAGCCAGGCACATGTCTGCAATGGCATCCCATCAAAAAAACCCTCAAAACTAAAAATAGCAGAAGCTGAAGCTGATCTGGACAAATCAACCGAAAGGGATATCTGGGATTAGAATTTTGACATTACTACATGCCATCACTAGGAATATGGTGCAAGCCCAATAGACAGAAGTTCAGGGTCTTATGAAAGCTGCAAATACCAAGTCACCATTTTAGATCATTCATCATGATCCGTAATAAAAATGTAAATGTAATCTAAACTGCTTGGATTTCTTTCCTTCAAGATAAGCAAAATCCAAAATATATAAAGTGGTTCAATGGAGATTCAGTTACCACTAAAGAAACAGACATATAAAAACAAAGAAGTGCCTAGCACTCCAGGAAGCAAGATTCCCAGACAGCAGAAGGAAAGTTGGGCTGCAAAATGGTTTATATTTATTAAGAGACGAATGGAGGATTGAGAGGTCTGCACTCAAGAACTGGAATTGTGGTGCAGGTTCTAGGGACCGGAATAGTTTCAGATAGCAATATGTGACTATTGGAGGGGTGGTCCAGTACTGTCGTACCACTACTTCAGAGGGCAGAAAATACAAGGAAATTCCTCCTCATCTTGTAATGGAGCTCAACATTCAAGAGTAAAAATCCCATGAGATTGATTTTTCTCCTCAAAGATATTGAGTAGGGAGGTACGACACAGTCACAGCCGAGAAATAGTATATGGACTTTGTAAAATTCCTTCATTGTAGATTCCCCAAATCTAACTTTATTCTTTCCCCAATATACTCTCTCTCCAAATTTTGCTGCTCAAGAACAGAGAGGACACCAGAAAGAATTTCAGAATCCAGGAACAGGCTAGCCTTGTCCTGACTTGTGCCCCATAGCCAAGGCACACACAGGCCTGCCAATGGGGAGGGACAAAGGGAGCAATTGCCTTGGGATTTGGCAATTCTAAAAGGCCAGGGGCCCCCAGCCGCCGCTGCTGCGGCAGTGGCAATGGCAATGCCCAGAGCCCCAAGCCCTTTAAATCGCTGCTGGAATGCCATGCCACGTGCTCCAGACGGCTCTAAGGACTGAGAGCTGGTTGCCCCCAGCCCTGCTCCTTCTACCCAATGCTCCACCCCTTCCAGAATCACAGAGCCAAGAGGCCTCCCTGCCTTTCCCAGGGACTTGGTGTTGCTGTTGGCTCTCCTGGTAGGCGAAAGGTTCTGTCTTCCTGAAGATGAATCTTGATTTTAGTAAGGCTTTTGATACTGTCTTGCATGACCATCTCAAACACACTAGGAAAATACAACCTAGATGGAACAAAGTGGGTGCCTAACTGGTTGGAAAACCATTCCCAGAGAGTGGTTTACAGTCAAGCTGGAAAAGCATAGCAAGTGGGGTGTCACGGGGATTAGTTCTGGGTCTGGTTCTGTTCAATTTCTTCTTCAGTAATTTAGAAATTATTTCTCTATGCCATTATCTAAAGTTTGTGGACAAATACCAAGCTAGTAATGGCTGCAAGTCATTTAGGGCATATGATTAATATTCAAAGTGATCTAGACAAACCGGAGAAATGGTCTGAAGTAAACAGGATGAAATGCAGTAAGAATAAATGCAAAGTATTCTACTTAGTTGTACATATACAGATGTCTGTCTAGGAAGGATTATTGCAGAAAGAGATCTAGGAGTCATAGTAGATCACAAACTAAATATAAATGAATAGTCTAATACTGCTGAAAAAAAAGGAAACCTAATTCTGAGATTAGCAGGAGGGTTGTAATCAAGATATGAAAAGTACTTCTTCCACTCGACTCCAGGGGTACGTCTAGACTACAGGGTTTTGTCGACGGAAGTTGTGTCGACAGATACTGTCGACAAAACTTCTGTCAACATAGAGCGTCTAGACACATTCAGTTCTGTCGACAAAGCAAGCTGCTTTGTCGACAAAACCCTGTAGTCTAGATGCAACCCTACAGGCAATAACACCTTCTGTCGACAGAACTCTGTCAACAGAAGGTGTTATGCCTCGTAAAACGAGGTTTACCAGCGTTGACAAAACTGCTGAGTTCTGTCGACGTTATGTCGAAAGAACTCAGCGGTAGTGTAGACGCAGGTATAGTTTTGTCGACAAAAGTTCACTTTTGTCGACAAAACTCAGTAGTCTAGATACACCCCAAGTTGATTAGCCCGTCACTATGGTTCTGTGCCTCAACTCCACTAAATTTTAGGAAAGATGTAGACAAAATGGAGACTGCCCAAAGAATAGCAACAAAAATGATTAAAGGTCTAGAAAACATTACCGGTGAGGAAAGATTGAAAAAAGTGGGTTTGTTCAGTGTAGAGAAAGGAAGACAGAGGGGACATGATAATAGTTTTCAAATACATAAAAGGTTGCTGTAAGGAGAAGGGAGAAAAATTATTCTCCTTAACATCTGAAGACAAGACAAGAAGCAATTGTCTTAAATGGCAGGCAGGGAGGTTTAGTTGGACATGAGAAAACATTTCTGAACTGTCAGGGTGGTTAACCTCTGGAATAAACTGCCTAGTGAAGTTGTGGACGCTCCATCATTGTCTAACCCGCTCTTAAAAATCTCAAAACAGCTGTCAGAGATGGTCTGAATAATACTTAGTCCTGTCATAAGTGCAAAATTCTGGACTAGGGATATGTCTAGACTACATCCCTCTTTCAAAAGAGGGATGTAAATTAGAAAGATCAAAATTGCAAATGAAGCTGGGTTTTGAATTTCCTGTGCTTCATTTCCATAATGGAGGCCACGCGTTCTTTCGAAAAAGGACTTTTCGAAAGCGAAACTGCTGTCTAGATGATTCTTAAAAAAAACAAAACAAAAAAAAAAAACCTCTTTTTTGAAAGATTCTGTAATCCTCCAGTCCTAATCAGGTCTGGCCAATGGAGAATAACTGGAGCCAAAGCATGAACAGGAGCCAGCACTGGTTTATGAAAGCATAGAACCTGTTGTGGGCTCTGTCACATTTAACCTGCCATAAAATCTCCAACTCCCTAGAAGCTAGAATAGCAGATACGGATGAGAACTTGAGCGTGTAACATGGCAGTTTTCACTGCAAAACCAGAACCTGCAACCATAGCATCTGCAAGATTCCCCAAATGTCCTGCACAGCTGCCTCTGATGAATCTGAGGGGGGCAGCCCAGCTACTTATCTGCCCTTCTTCAATCTTTTGGGTTCCTCAAACTGTCAGTGATTGAGTTTGCTTCAGGGGATAGCTGAATTAGTCTGTGCAGAATAAACTTTAAAAAATGGTCTGGTAGCACTTTATAGACTAACAAAACATGTAGATGGTATCATGAGCTTTTGTGGGCACAGCCCACTTCTTCAGATGACCAGAGTTTTGTGAATGATCATCAGTCCTAGTGGTTTAAGGTTGAGTCTGGCATACCAGTTAGAGCTGAATCTAGAGAGGGCAGTTCCAGGAGTGAAGCCAAGAATCACAGCTACGCATCAGAGATCAAAACCTAAGCCCAACAGTCAACCAGTCACAGACAAAAGGTAGAGTTGAGGACCTGAGCTGTGAGTCAGAAGACAAGAAGGAGTGAGCCATGGAACCAAAGCAGCCTGGGGCTGGAGCAGGAGCAAGGCTAGAGAAAGTGGAGGCGAAGACAGGATCAGAAACAGCTATGGGCTAAGAATACGTTGCACAGCAAGTGAACTACTACTGAGCATAAGTATCAGACTGCTCACTCCTTCAGTCAGACAGACAGCTTCTATCAGAGCCGGCTACACTCACTTGAGTGCCAGAAGCCTGACTCTGCTGCAGGAAAGGCCCCTCGCAAACATCCTGAATTATGAAACAGATCCCCTTCTTTGCTACTTAGTGGAACAGATCTAATGTTCTGAATAACATGGAGTAGATGAGAGGATACACTATAGAACAATATAATTACATCCTATAGGGAACATTAACAAAGCCTTACCGTGAAAGTGACATCATTTTGGCTTTAGTTATTGTAAACCCAGCATTAATGATGATATCAATTAGTTCTCCAACCTTGGGTATTGCATCAGGTTTAACCAAAGCCAGCGTTCTGAAAAAGCAGAAAAGAATTTGGAATTTTCATTATTTGAGGAAAAGACAAAAGTGTAAGTAAAACTCTAAGGCTATGTCTAGACTGCAAGCCTCTTTCGAAAGACGCTTTTTCGAAAGATACTTTCGAAAAAGGCTCTTTCGAAAAAGAGCGTCTAGACTGCAAGTGGAACTTTCAAAAAAGCAAGCTGCTTTTTCGAAAGAGAGCACCCAGGCAGAAAAAAGGCTTTCTTCCTCGTGAAATTAGGTTTACCGCCATCGAAAGAAAAGCCGCGTTCTTTCAATTTAATTTCAAAAGAACGCGGCTGCAGTCTAGACACAGGTGAAGTTTTTTCGAAAAAAGGCTACTTTTTTCGGAAAAAACCCTGAGTCTGGACACAGCCTAAGGGGGGGGGAGAAGCTTCACATTAGGAAATACAGAAATGCAGAGTTACAGTCATGCAACAATTTTGCCTCAGACCTTTACTGACCTTCCGTCACGCACATGTATATCTTTCATGTATGATGGAGGCACTAAAACCTTAAAATAATATTTGCCTGTGGCACAGTCAGCAGTAAGTAGGAGACCTTTGTGCCATCTAAGATGTCTGTAACTCCAGATATGGTAGCGTGTACCTATGCTAAGTCTTACAACAGGACAATCATTTTATAACAAAAATTCCAGGTATCTTTGGGAGGCTGTAATGAATGGGGTTACTAATGAGATGTAAAAGCCGAATTTGCTGGTGAATGCACAGCATTTTGAGATGCACAGATAGAAGGGGCTATAGAAATACAAAGACTATATATATTTGATTTATAAAGCGAAGCTGTTTCATGCTGGAGATTGAGAGATTTTTCCATCAGGTCCTCCCACCCGCACATGCAAGCTTTAACATCCTATTTATTCTTTTTCTCTCTTCCATTTATGCCTGTTTATTCACACAGCTCTTTATGCACAGAATGACCTCCTGATCAACAAGCCTCTACTCTCTTCCTATTCAAATCCTTCCATAAAAATTGTGCTTCTTCCACAGTGCTTGTAAAAGAAAGCGAGTCCATATTTATTACCTGTACTAGAGCAATGCTGAATGGTCTCATCATGCGAGGTGCTGTACAAACATGAATTATAATCACTTCCTTTATCCTGACTATTTAGACCAATAGCTCTTTGGAACTATTATCCTATTTTATGGATAAAATCTATATTATGAGAGCAAAACAAAAATCTCTAAGCTATCCAGTTCATCCCATCTCCTCTGCAATTATCTTTTATACTCAAAGCACTGTCAATACAAAATTCCCTATTAATCATAAATAATAAGTGGCATAACATGAATTATGTAAAATAACACCGTGTGCTCCCATTATTTATTCTCCCAATGAGTCAGCATCCAATATGCTTATCTTACAAATCAACAGATGATTTATCTAACTGCGTGTATCACAAACTCTGCCTGGAATCTGAAAATCCAATGAGTTTCTTTCTATCTTTTATACCATCTTCAGCACTGGAGAATATTCAAGACAATGTTTCTTTTCTTTCAATGCATTTATCTAGAGAAGGTAGATGCTGCCAGTTTGCTCACTTTATTTCTCAGTCTACTGGAGAAGACAACTTCTTTCTCACTACAATTTGTTCTAACTGGAAATAACATGATAAAATGAGGGGAAATTGACAAAGTGCCATTGCATTAGCTCTGATCACTAATAGATATCAAAGATGTTGTGGGAATAAACAACACTAGCCACACCCAAGGCTTTTACAGTGAATGGACACAGGAAATGTTAGAAAGGAGGCAGAATTTAATCTGATACTCCTGATGGGGCAGAGGAAGGGAAAGATCTAAACTGCAAAATTCAGAGCCAAATGTGAACTTCTCCAAACATCAGGATGCTCAGATCTGTGGATATGATTAAGTACATGTCTATGGAAACAGTGCAATGATGCAAGCAAGATTGACTGAAGACTGGAAAGGGTCAAGTTGTTTGACTGGGAATTTCAACTCAATTTGAAGCTAGTGTTTTCCTTCAAAATGCTTGTTTAGGGGTTGGGTTTTTTTGTTTTATTATAGTTATATAAACTATTAGAGAAAAGGTGTTTAATCCTAGAATAATCTGTTGTTTACTTTGCTGATTTCAGACTCCGATAGCAGATCCTTAATTACTAGAAACATGCAGTGAAATACTTTAGGGTGAAGCAATTAACTGCAGCACTTTCTGAAATAAACATCTGTCAGAAAGATTTTTTTCCAGCACTTGTTTATAATAGTATTTTTCATAGAAGCATAGAACACTAGAATCGGAAGGGACCTCGAGAGGTCAAGTCCAGTTCCCAGCACTCATGTCAGAACCCAGTACTGTCTAGAGCAGTGGTCCCCAACACGATGGCCGTGGGGGTCATGGTGCCCGCCAGGGCATTTGTGCACGCGCGTAGCGCTGCCCCCGGGAGCTCGGTGCATGCACGACACTGCCCAAGGCCGGCTCTAGGCACCAGCAAACCAATCATGTGCTTGGGGCGGCACATTTTCAGGGGCGGCATTCCAGCCAGCCTTACCGCCAGATGCAGGCCTGCCTGTGCCTGCCCAAGACAATGGGGCGGGCGGGGGAGGGGAGAGGGGGCGGGG